TAACTAGTGATAATGTAGAATGCGACCAAGTTAGTGTCGACTTCTATAATGTTGGTTACTGATAACTGCATCAAAGTTAAACTGTGTGCGATGCTAAGTGTATATGGAACCACATTTACTTAGATGAGATATTCACTGCTATATTTGAAATATTTTCAGATATAGTTAACCCCAAAACAAGCACAAAGAATTCAGCTTAAATGCATGACATTAATTGTCATATTAATCAGATAGTGTAGCATTGAAGTCATCCAACCTCCGCACCATATTTATATTGATGTGTTTTACAAGTAGAAATACTGTACCTATTACAACGTGCATGTGGGTGAGACGATGACGTCAGTGTTGTGTTACACTTTACGTTTAACCCTCCATTACACGGATAAGCACATTGATATGGCGGGAAGCAATTTGCAGGTGTAATGGTTGTTTAAGTGCACTTTGTAGTTGTATACCTGTTTCTCATCTACAATGTAATTTACAGTTTGAACATTTCCTTCATTTTTTCGCTAAAACTTTGTACACAAATGTTACTAATAAAAGCAGATTCTGGCTTATTGAACTAAAACATGGCGAAAACTGTACATAATTAGGTGTGCTTTATTTCCTATGGTTCACAAACAATTGCTCTATTTCTATTTATACTTAGCCAATGTTAGATATACAAGCTGGAACAAGTTGCTTTACAAGTTGTACAAGTATAGATTTGTTTGTTCATATTATATTTATTTGATGTTAACCAATAACCGCAATGTAAAGACAAAAATAACATAAATAAACAAATACATACAGTTGGCTACTACTGGTCACGTAGCAAGCGAGGCAATGATTAAACAGATTCATGTGTTTTATAACAAACTCGCCAGTTAGTAGTTAAACTTGTGCTGGAACTTAGCCTTTGCTGTCACTCTACGCTGATAATACATATTATGCCAAAGTCTTATCTGTGGTGGTTATCACTGTTTACCTTCCAGTTTAGAGATGTTCAAGGTCTTAACCGATTTTCCTAAAGCCTCTGAGTCCATCAACCAGTTGCCTACACATGTTTTATGAAATGCACAAATAATGTACCATCGACCTCCTCAGCATTGCATTGCGCCTTCTCTCTTTATTTTCACAACTAAAGTAAAGTAACTAAAGATTCTAACTATTAATCTTTTTCATTGAGTAAGAGTAAGTATATTTGTATGTAAAAGAAAATTAACATCCTCTAAGAAACTCTGAAGAATGCGGAGTTTAACCGAAAACATGTAGATGAACTAGCATAAAACCATGAAAAGACCTATCCTTTTAAGTCCCTAATTTTTCAAGTGTTATGTCTGTTTAAAGTTTTCCAGTAAGGATTTACCTTTATGTTAGTGAATTTACCATATTGAGAATGAGATATTACCGTAGGTCTCATTGTAAGACCCGGACACAGGACTGATTTAATTTTTCATTTTTATGTTCTCAGAGCCCAAAAACACCATCTGTTCAAATTCATTTATATGTATAGAGCTATAATAGTAGGAACATCCCGTTTCAACTTTTTAATGCGTATAACCAGGAAAATAAAACTCCGTCATCTCTATATGACTTGACACTTTTTTGTTGACATTCCAATTTCGTCCGGAACCCCAAAATGGGGTTCTGGGAGCAGCTAAAATCGTTTAATATTAAGCCCCATCAAGTGACACTTAATTTTAAAAGCCATTAGTTAAATACAATATCAGCAAAACTTAGATGTCGTTATCTCAACCCATTACACAATGGCGGCAGTCTTTAGTTTTTCATTGGTCTGATATTTTATAGTTTTTAATTGGACCTTTATATTTATTTATTTACATATATTTATATGTGTGTCCATTAGCACGATATCTGTAGTGAAAATCATCAAATTTTAAGCAATTTAGTAAAAACGTGTACACTCACAACATTTTAAACGAGTTAGCAAATCAGCATGATCGGACTTACGAAATTTATTTATTTATTCCAACAGGAAACCCATTATAAGCATGGAAATGGGGGTTTTATAGGGTAATCGTTAGGTTTGCCCATTTTTTTACCCTCAAACAACAGATGCTCAAAAACACAAATAATTTAGTATGCTGAAGCGCATTTATATGCCTAATGGTAACAGAGAAAGTTCCATAAAACTGTTTCATTGATATATACTGATCAAATTTGGCAAACTTAACTTCTTATTTTATCCTAAGCTGATAACATTTCACTAAAAACACACATTATTACCTTCCCAGTAGCAGTAAACATATGAACTAGTTATCGTTTTACCTAATTCTATTTAGATAGGGAAGGAATCTGACATGTTTAAGGAAATATTTCAGTAAAAACTCAATCAGGCAAACGGAAGTTCGCTTAGTCTGCAGGTTTGCTGTGGTGGGGGTATTTTTAGTTTAAGGTAATAAATCCCACATGATTTTCATTAGTATTCCCATTTACTTTTAGCAATATGTAACTTATTTGTTGCTTTTTAATTAGGAACCAAAACTTAAGTGCATAAAGTGTTGTAAACAATCAATTATTAATATTTGCCTGTGCATGTGAGTGATTATGATACGTAAAACATTTAAAATATCAAAAAGGAAAATTTGGAAGTTTATTACTTATGTACTTTTACAAATTCACTTGGAGATAACAGAGTTAGGCTATGTGTTTTAGTAGACGCCAAAAATCCTTACAAACTTGTGCGCGACGTGCACAATGAACTTGTTTAAAAAGTAATGGCAGCTTTTGTTATCATATCTGCCGGTCATGGTTCACTAAGCAGCCATTCATTCGTCCACAAGGGCGCGTAATAACAATTAATTATAAACTAGATAAACAGTTTGTAAAAACTGCTCAAACATTTTCAACTTGACAAGTGATTCAGATAGCAGAGACTCGTTTTTTGTACTTACTTCAATTACTTTCATAAGGTTACACAGTACCAATATTATATTTTTGCATCATCTGCTGAGTGGCCAAATGATGTAGAATATCTGAAGTGATATTGTGCAGTCTTAGGTTCTCGTATGGGTATGCAGTAAGGTTTAACCTCCCCCGCCCAATTTTAAGTATTCAACTTGTTGGAAGTGGATGGGAGGTGCTAAGATACTTCACATTATCGACAAATGGTCTCAAGATTATAATTTTACAGATTAATAGAGTTTTAAGACTTTCTATTAACATAAAATCACATGAATTGGTTTCGATAGAGTTATAAATAAAGTTAACATTCGTTAATACCAGCAATATATAGTTATACAGTTACACTTACCTCGATACTAAAACTTACAATATTTGTGTAATAAATAATATTACATGATATATTCATGATAATATATACTTATAAGTATATTATAAGTATATATATTCATGATATATACATGATAATATTTATATAATAAAACATATATCACAATTCACATTCTTTATATACGCCTAGTTGCGACTAGTGTCCCAATTGTAATCGGTGATTGAGTAGTACGGATATGTATAACTTTTAATATATTTAACTATTTAAGTAGTATTTTTCCTGTACAGAAATTAAGGTCCAGCGACCTGATCAGCTCACATCATATCAGTGAGCTCGATTTTAAAATGTAAGGCTGGAAAATATTCGCGACGTTTTTTATGACCAACATCTTTTATGACACTCCAATACTGTAAGTATTAAATTTACTGTTTAACGCCGGTTTAATATGGCTGTAAAGTTTGCTTCGACAAAATGATACATCGATGTCAAGGACCTGTTTTTATTGGAATATATCGGTTAAAAATAATAATTTTTTTCATATATGAGAATCCTTCAGTATATGTCAAATCAGAGTTGAGACTATGGCAAACAACAGTATTTCTATCGTAAAAGATACAAAACCTATCAGCGATGTTTAGTAGTATAGACTATATCTGCAGTCACAAACAAAGTCATGAAGATATATGTTTTATAGTCTCATTTACTGCAGCTGTCTTTACGACTGATGCACTATAGAAAATGCAGTTTACTGTAGAAAGGAGAGCCGCTCTTACACCATGTACGTCTTGTAAAGTGTAAAACTCTTTGCATAGTAAAATGTACAAACATACTTCAGTAGTACAGTAATGTAGTGTATGTGTTGTACAGCAATGTACAGTATTACTATGTACACATAGCTGGAGAATGTGTAGGTACAGACTATTGGTTTTGTGTTGGATAATTCTCCTTGACAAAATACACAAAATATAATATTTAAGTTTGTTTCCAGCCACAAGAATTTGTTTGTAATTAAGGTAAGCTTAACTCTTAATCAAGTGAATGGAACATATACTGTATATTGACTGCTACCCACAAGCGCATTTTAGTCCAACAGTTTCTAGTAATTTCCAGAAGTCATTATTAGCCTTCTGTATAACATACAACACTGATCATCCTTTTAGTATTGAACGTGGATATTAGATTAAAAAAAAACAATATCACATCACGCAATTTTGCCTAGGAGAATCTTTCATCAAATAATTTATAGAATCTTCTATCTATACAAATTTTCAACAACGCACGTAAGGAATTTAACTTAACTTACAGTACAAAAATTGATAAGTTTGTAATTTGGAAGAAAAAACTGGTACCAAGACTATGATAGTGGGGGAAATCCTGTAACCTTTGCACTTTACATTGTACTCTGTGTATACACTCTCGGGAGTCTGGCTGTAAGGGATCGTTTTACTTAAGCAAATTATTTCTTCTAATCGTCTGGAAGCAGCGTTATTGTTATTGAAGTAATTAATAAAACTTATTGTGTACACCAAATCCCGCTAATCCGAACGTCCGGTACTAACCACGTGATTGAGAAATCTTATTTTATTTCAATTAAAAACAAAGCTATGTGTTCTGAAGTACTAATCAGGGAACTCATCAAAAAATGGGAAAATATGAAAATTAAAGTACGAGCATTTTTGAAGAACGGTGACATTTTTATGGAACTGGGATATTTGTAATAATTATCAATAGACTATGAGCGGCTAATATGTCTGTCATTTTCCAGATGGAGAACTCGGCATTCGAGGGGGATGTGGACAGGAACAGCATGGAGCTGAAGGACGTGAAGATCGGTCCCGTCAACGGTAACGGCCAGAGCCAGCCGCACAAGTGTGAGCCGGACAGATGTCGCTCGCTACACGCCAAGATGCTGGTGGACAAGACCAAGATGGCGACCAATCCCTGGGACCGCCTCAAGACTACGTTCCTCGTAGGGATCATCGCCACCCTCGTCCTCTGGCTCGTCGTCTTCGTCGGCACCTCCAGGATGGGCCTCGTATGATCCTCGTGTCAGATTGATCAAACTTGTGTGAATAGATTGTGATATTCGCGAAAATGTAAATATGTTACCGTTTTTACCATTAGCTATTAGCATTTTTACCGTATGTTGTGTGTGTGATATGTTTGCTCGAACTCGATGTGTTGAAGAGTCAGTTTGCAGTAGTTTTATTTAGAATATTTCATATATACTCTGTGAGCAGCCAGCCTTGATTATGCCAGCTTAATTGATGCTCATATTTACTTTAATCTATTTTATGCTAATTAAATGTGATGGCAATACATTTTACATACCGCATTATTAAGAATTTGTTCAGGATTTGCCTTGTACGATAAATTTAACTTTTAGCATATTGTTTATGATTTTTATGTCATACGATATTCATATCATGTATATTTGTATATAGTTGTTATTTGTTTGAATATATATTTCTGCAATATTAAACATTTAGTATTGCACTGTTACGTTTATTTTTTCATTGCAAACCTTTAGATAGAGCCTGACTTTTCAGTATACCACGAAAAATCAAATCAGTAAAACTGTATAGAAACTGTCTAACTACAATGTAAAAATATATTGTAAATAATACGACAAATATTTTACCTATATAAAAAGGCTTCAAGTCATGAAAATCAAACGTGAAATCACTTAACACTCAATTGAAGAAGTAAGATATCATATTTGGTGTTATCTTTGACTGTGCTATAATTGTAAGATGATGTATTGTTCTGTCAATCAACAAAAGTTCAAATATCAATAATTTTGCTTTTATTTTAATTCAAAATTATGTTTCCGTAAGCTCAGAACAACTACACTATGTTTTAGGTTGTCTGGCTATTACAAGATGAAATACAGTAGTATATGTCATTACTTAGTTGCTGGACATACGTTTTTGTGCAAAGATTTATTACACAGTCCCCAATACCAAATTTAGGGGTTTACCTACCTTTTTCCGTTAATACACTGATAACACTTCACGTCCAGCACTACTAATGACTGAGATCTGTTTATTAATTGCTGAAATCTGGGTTCAAATTTTATCTTGATCCCTCTTCAATATGAATTTCAAGGTAACTTTACTTTGTAAGAAATTTTACAATAAATTCAATTGAACAAGTTTATATGAAAATATACAGTTACTTTTACCATTGAGTATGCTTTTAGTGATATCAACATCATTCGGGATTTAGTCAGCAACCGATCAAATATTTAAGTTATTAGTAAAATATAAGAAATCTTATATATGACATTAATTTCCTCCACAATAATAGAAAAACACTATAAGTATAATATTAGTATTCTTTTAGAAGTATAGTAGGCCTATTTCTCTTGTTATTTGTTACTAACGAAACCATGTAACACACTAAAAGTCAAGATAGCTAATCGGATACTTCAAAGTTAACTCAGTGGTAGATAATTTTTTCAAAGATTCAAAGACACAAATATACGAACTACCTATATTATTTCCTACAAGTAAAATGGGCCGAAGGTGCCTAGTTAAGTAATTTAGTTTGACATTGCATCCAATATACTAGACATCGTAGAAACATCGTATTGGACGCTGTTGGAACGACAATATGAGTGTTTCAATTGCACGCTGCCTAGTGCAATGCTATTGGTTTATCACTGTAACTACATTATTATCATCAGTTTGTTAGTATATTACATATTGCGACGGGTACGCCACCTGCATGTAATATAACCGACTATGATTGAAAGATGAGTGTAGAATAAAGTTAAAAACATTGTGTAGTTTTATACTGACTATGACCGGATGTTCTATTAGCCAGGATCATTTACTAAAAGCCCATTGATCAAGGACAGCTAGGTCCAGTTTCGCATCATTGAAAAGCTGCTGACTTTTTTCAGGATCGATCCGATCCGGCTTTTGATTATAAGGGAGTGTCATCACCACACCAGCTACTGCATTGGTAGTTTACAGGGAAATGCCCAGCTTCGCCTCATCACATTGCTAACCCTTTACCTTCAGCCATATCGACACAATTATGCCAGAATCACAATTATTCTCTTACCGCAGAATAGGTATTGCTTATTTGTATGTATACAATTGAAATGGCTTCGTGAGAAGCTACTGTGTAAGTTTTGAACTCGGTAATTGTATTACAATTATTTCTTTAGGGGTTTCCCTTTCATTTGACAAGGAAATAATAATGCAATCCTAATCAAATGGAGTTTTTACGCTAAATCTTTACGACTACTAGACATATTGTTCAATGTATTAGAAAACTACCACTCCAACAGCATGACTAGAGTGTCACAATTACACACAGCCCCAGTGCAATGTAATTAGTTTATCATTGTATTCAATCTTGAGTGAGTCATAAACCAGGCGAGAGTTGACATTAGGTTTATTGCAGGACGTCATGGATTTCATTGCCAACCAAACTGTCTCTCAGTACTCAATGTCTTAAAATATATCTGCATAGGAGAATGTTTCTGGCGTCTACAGCACCCACCCCCTCCTTAAAACAACCAGTGTCAACATAAACAAAGTAAAAGTATTCATTCCTTTCTCATTTATAAAATATTGTTTCTCTGTGCATTTGAAATAATGTAGCCTATTGGCTTTTATAATCCTTCCTCGTGGTATTATCAAAGGTCGTGTTAGTTCATGTTACTATCAAACGTTGACCTTTTTCATCATTAATTAACTGTTAGCCTTCCCTAATGACTAATGACATATGACTCTGGTAACGATCTCGCTCAGAATCAAACCAGCGACTTCAGATATGAAGACAAACACTATAATCACTCAGCTACCTACATAGTTGAGTCCGAATTGGTATAAGCTGCGGACAAAGGAATTACTAAACACCCTAATAACCAATTATATACACTTTAAATCCTATAAAACCGCAACTTTGTCTATCTGAAGGAAAGGTTTTAGGAGATAATGTACACACCTTATAATAGATACTTTTAGTATATTAGTTTCCTTACCTAACCGCCAAGGATACCGAAACCGTATTAGGTTTTTGACTTCGTAAACAATTTGCCTACATTCTAATCTATCACCTGCCTCTACTAAGGTAGATCCCAATCTATGTATTTCGTTAGGCCTACTTGGGGTTTCAATCTCATTCTAGGTCTTTCAAGTGTTCATCTATGTAACTCATTGGATACCAACCAATATTGAAGTATCTTCTCTCTTCCACACTTAGCCGGTGTTTATATACTGTATTTTATTAAGTCCCTATTGTTTCGTAACCTAACCAACCTTGTTTTCGTAACCAGTTTTTTTACACCTTTGTGATTTTGAACTGATTCGTTTATTGTAATAATGGGATACCAGCATTCCATTCTCAAACACATGATGAGTTCTATGTAAATAAAGCTGAAGATGAGTTTTGATGTATACTCGAAATATACCTCCACATTTTTTAGTAAATTGTGTATAATTTTATTTATGTGATGAGTAGCCAACAAACCAAGATTAACAATGATGAGTTCTCTTTTACTGGTCAGTGCCCACATAGGTTTCTGATGCATACTGTAGTACTGTGATAAATCATGGTATGCTATGTATACGTTGATTTTGGGGTTTTGCCAGTTTTTCTAGAGACCAATATTTAACACCATAGGTTTACATTTTAATTTATAACCAGCATTGTGGTATACCGAGAGACAGACATAACATTAAGAAAAGCGAACTATCAACATGTTACCAACCACTCATAGCACGTAAAATCGAATGAAAGTTTTCCAAAACAACATTTCCATAGCATGAGTCTTCATAAACTTTCATTTCTCATTTCGAAATCTTCATAAACTTACATTCACACAAATTGAATTTGCGACAAAGCTTATTAAATTAAACATTTGGGATTTAAAGTTCAAAATACTGTAACTCATTTCCTGGGAACATATATCCTTCACGGTAGGAAAAACTACTTTTAGTATGATCATAAAACATACACCAACGATAAATAGGCTATGCTGCAAACAGTTTAAAACGTTAAAACTTCATTGATAGTTTACAGAAATAAAACCAGCTGTTCCGTAAAATAAATTTGTATTGCAATTTATATTGCGACTTTTTCAAAATTAAAATTTAATATCTTGAAAAGATAAATCCAAAATTATAATTATGGCGATGACATTCCTTTCCTCTTAAAATTGCCTTTTTCAACAGTATCATCATGAAAATCTGACAAGAGGTTGTTTCAGAATATGTGAATAAAAAAACCGGTCAAGGTTTTTAATATATAAGAAGATTAACCATATTTTTAATGAGCTATGTACATTTCGTGTGTTATATAACAACCTGGTTTTGATTACAGATTGTACTAAATTTACCTTTATTACGTCAATTTGACTATTTGTAGTGCTCATTTCTTCATTTGCTGTCCTATTTGCCTGTTCACATTATGTAAAACAATTACTGATTCAGCGCGTGAGTTAGGAGATAGTTTATGGGCCAAGTTTTCTCAAACTCGCCAAACACAGTTGCCAACTCTGGCGGTCGTCAGAATACTGCAACACCAGAATTTGCATCCATTAACTGAAATGGGTAATCAGTGAAATTTATGTCAATATTAAGCAAACATTAATAATTCATGAAAATGTTTGAATTTTTACACTACAGTATTCCATTTGTAACATCATTTGAATTTACACAAACTTGCAAAATGTATACGTAAGTAAGTTACTGAAGAAATGCTGATAATCTAGCTTCAGAGATAACTTATTTGAATTTGTGAAATTTGACTTTTAATTTATAATGTCACTGTGACCTATATTTCCTATATGTTATACATTTATTAGAACGGTAAAAGTTCATTTATAGCTTATGTGGAAAAGCTCCAATAACCTATTAAAAGCAGCTATAACACCAACTAATTTACCCAATAAATAGCATAGGCTTTTTAAGGAAGCTTTTATGGTCGTATCAAAAGGTTTATGATGGAAACTTTTGAAATTTTAATAACGAACACAACATTGGTATTTTACATGGAAATTTCCAGCTTCACCTCATCAGGAGGTTGCTCACTTTTTACCTTCAGCAATATCGACACAATTATATCAGAATCACAATTATTCTCAAACACCCAGAATAGGTATTGCTCATTTGTATGTATACCATTGAAATGGCTTCGTGAGAAGCTACTGTGTAAGTTTTGAATTCAGTAATTGTATTACAATTATTCCTTTAAGCTAGGGGTTTCCCTTTCATTTGAAAAGGAAATAATAATACAATCCTAATCAAATGGAGTTTTTACTCCAAATCCTTAGGAATAATTTAGCAATTACTTATCACTGTTTGTATTTTACTGAGAATGAACGATTATCTGGCAAACACTGTATGGCGGCGCAAATGAATCAAATATGAGTTCCCTTCATAATGAGCTGTTTAAACACTTTAATTTCTTGTTTTTTTAGAAATGGGTAACATGCACTTACACGTCGTGCTGTTTAGGATTTTGAATTATATTGACTTTATTTAAACATTTATTTTTTTGGCACAAATATATTTTTTTCATGTGGAATTTGTATAAATATTAAATAGCTACTTTCTGACGAGTACGCAAAGGGCTGTGTAGTGGTAGTGAACTGACAAGGTAAAAATATTGAATATTTGACCACTAATTTCAGTATTATATGTACAAAGGTAATGTAATGCAGTACAGGTGCTGACTATTCAACGCTACTAGATAACCTATCTTGTAGTGGGTCGTACACATGTCGTACATGACCGGACATTATCTTGTACGTCTCTCAACAGTCAA